TTGCTCAACAAGTACATTGTCCACTGAGGCACTGAGCCAGCCAGCCTCATACTAAAAGAAATTCTAAATAAGCCTATTACCTTTAACCCAAGTGATCATTTTTGTCAAAATAGTTATGACAACTAGTGTAATAATCATATCAACTATGGGGAGTTAATATTTACCACATTCTGCTGTAAGTTTTATATGAATACAGCTCATTTTAAAACTCAGAAAAATATGATGTGTTACAAAACTATAATCTTGTGTGGGAAGGGATATATATATATATATGGGTACAGTACCCAAGGAAGCCAAAAGACAGCTGGACAGGGGCGCTAAGATTTGAACTCAGGTCCTACACAAGAGCCAACCCCACTACTAATCAGAGCTATCTCTCAAGCCTCTACTATCTCAATTTTGTTAAAACTAAAAAGATAATGAATACCTAAGAAGACCTGACTTATTTATATTAAAATTTTTTACATTGAAAACAACCAAAAAGATAAAGATCTCTTCTTTTTAGAAAAAAAAATTGGTAAATGTTAAAACAATATCAACAGTAGAAAGGCAACATTGTTCCACTTGGCTCAGCTTCACATCAACTTACTAAAAGCTAGAGTCATCAGAGAAGGGAGCCTCAGTTAAGAAACTGCCTCCTTAAGATCTGCCTGTAGGGCATTTTCTTATTTAGTGAACAATGGGAGAGGACCCAGCCCACCGTAGGTGGGGCCATCCCTGGGCTGGTCGTCCTGGGTTCTATAAGAAACCAGGCTGAGCAAGCCTTGAGGAGCAAGCCACTCACCCCTCCATGGCCTCTGCATCACCTCCTGCCTCCAGGCTCCTGCCCTTGCTCAGTTCTTGCTCTCTTTGCTTTCGATGACGAACTGTTCTAAGGAACTGTGAGCAAGATAAACCCTTTCCTCCCGAGTTGCTTCGGCCATCGCAGCAATTGTAACCCTGACAGAGACAAGTGGTTGCAGGAGTGGGGTATTGCTGTGACAGACCTAACCATGTTGTTTTGGAGAGGAGTGTGGAAAGACTTTGGAATTTGGGGCTAGAAAAGCCAGTGAGTGTTGAGAGCTCAGTGGGATGTTCTGTGGGAGCCTAGTAGATAAGACTGTTGAGAGCCGAGCAGACGAAGGAGGCCTGGCTTGTGAAGTCTCAGAGGGAAGCAAACATTCTACTGGGCCATCTGTATGAGGAATCTGTGGTGTCTGGTCAGCTGGGGCTGAAGAATCAGCTATGATAGCAAAAACAAGATAGCAAAAACACTAAAGTGGAACCTTGGCTTTGCTGGGATACTCAACGCTAGTTAGCTGAAGCTGAAAAATTAGTGATGCTTGAGAAGAGACCAGCATCGCTGAGGTGAAATCTTCTGGAAAGCATTTCCTGAGAGTCAGCACACAGAAGCTATGTTCCAGATATGGCCAAAGTTGTCCCTTGTGCTGGCAGCTGAACTTGGCAGTTGAGAGTTATCCAGGTAGTGCTGGTTTTGCAGGTGTGAGGGGGTCATGGAGAGCAGCTGAAGCTGCTACAGGATGACCACAGAGGCGAGCAGCAGCAGTGGAGCAGAGCCAGCCATAACTAGAAGTGAAACTGTGTGCTACAGAGGAGGGCAGAGCTGCAGAGTGACCCAAGCACCGTGGAGGAGTGCAGGAAACCACAGTGAATCCCAGACAACTGGACACTGAGTTATTTATACTGTTTGAGTTTGATTTGGTTCTGTTCAGATTGTGACTGTGCTCTGGTTCTTTCCTCTTGCAGAAAATATCTTATGTAATTTTGATTTATACAGGAACCCACAGTTAAAAGACTGATTTTTTAAAGATATTCTGGATTTTAAAGAACACTAGATATTTAAAGGGGCTGAACTGAATTATTTATGTCATGTATTGTGATATATGAAAAAGAAAAGATTCTGATTGAAAAGCGGTGTGTTTGTGTGTCAAGCTGACAACGGGTCAGCTGTACTGGCTAGTTTTATGTCAAGTTGATAAGCTAGATTCATCAAAGAGGAGGGAGCTTCTGTTGAGAAAAGGCTTCCACACGATCCAGCTGTACGGCATTTCTTAACTAGCGATCAGTGGGGGTGGGGCCCAGTCCATTGTGGGTGGTGTCACCCCTGAGTTCTACCAGAAAGCAGGCTGAGCACATCATGGGAAACAAGCCAGGAAGCAGCACCGCTCCAATGGTGTCTGCATCGGCTCCTGCCTCCAGGTTTCTGCCCCGCCTGGGTTTTTACCCTCACTGCTTTTGATGATTAACTATCATGAGGAACTGTGACTGACATAAACTCTTTACTCCCCAATCTGCTTTTGGTCAGGGTGTTTCATCTCAGCAACAGTAACCCTAACTAAGAAAGCCATCTTTTGGCAAAAATGATTTATGAGGGGGCTGGAGAAATGTCTCAGTGGTTAAGAGCCCTTACACAGTTTCACAGGACCTGAGTTTAGTTACCACCCATAATTGCCTACAGCTCCCACTCCAGAGGATGCAGACACCCACTTCTGGCTTCTGCAGGTACCCACACTCACATGCACATAGCCATAGACAGCCACTCACACAAATAAATAAGATCATTCATAAAAAAAAATTAGGAAGTTTATAGATATCATTAGGTAAAAGGCTGATGGAGAAGAGAGTGTTTGCAGGGTGCCAAACAGCATTTCCTTTTTATTTAGTCAATTCAAGTAGAAAAGCTGCAACTTTCAATAAAGATGATCGGACTAGTGCAACCTGAATCTGTAACTCCTACCCGCATGTCCTCACTAGCAGGACAACCAGAAATTTAGTGAATCCTCACATGTGATGGAACATGTTGTAAAACACCTTCCCTATAAAAAAAAAACTATTGTTCAAAAATGATCAAAATTAATATAATCAAATCTTGACGTTCTCCCATTTATAGGAAACACAAAAGGTAAAGAAACAAATAATAGTTGCAGGAATCAAAGTGGCAACATTATTTAGGACACTGAGCCAGTTTACTGAAAAGTCAAAGGCACATTGGACAAAAACAAACAAGGGCATTCTTCAGGACTGATGATATAATAGCCTAACAACGAATTTGTTTTCATTTCAACAATCCTAGGAATAAAGACTTGGGGCTGGGATGTAGCCAGGTGGTAGAGGTCTTCCTAGCATGCTAAAGGTTCTGGGTTCAATCTCCAATACCACATACACTGGGCATGATGGTACCCACATGTAATCCTGGCACTCACGGGGTGAAAGCAGAAGGATCATGAGTTCAAGGTCATCATCCCTGATTGCATAGTTTAAAGGCAGGCTGCATTAGATGGGATGCTATCTCCAAAACAAGAAGGCTGGGGAGAAGAGGAGCTGAACAAGCCTCATCTCAAAAGAAAAGCCATAACGTTAAAACACTAAAACCGGACACAGCCAGTACTAATTATGAGAGTTAGAGTCTAACTGTAACTTTTAAAGTACAAGATTACTAACAGGCCCCTGTCCCTTTCCCACAGTGGATTCCTACAGCCACTAACAGTGCTAAGCCTTATGCAGACTGTACTACATAATGTTTCTAAGTTTGTACCATAAAAGAGTAACGACAACTAAGACAATAATTACAACAATATACTGTAATATAAGCCCTCCATACCGCAGGGTGGGTGCTGCATCCAGCAGAATACCTTCAACAAAGGGATGACTCGCATTCCTGGAAGGACAGGGCAGGATCCTGACAAGATTTCATTACAATACTCAGAACTGAGTGCAACTTAAATCTGAAAAGCTGCTCCTTTCTGGAATTTCCCATTTATCAATTTCAAACAATCATTTAGAAGAATAACTGAAACCGCCCAAAATATAAATATAAAAATAAATATAAAAAATATAAAACAACAAATTCAAGTTCTTAAATCTTAAAAGCAAAAGCTTTTTCACTGCAGCTATGGAGTGTGACCGGGGAACTGAGGATATGCAATGAAACTCTAGCTGAGTACCAGAATGATCCATAAATAAGAAAGTGCAATCCACATATTCTTCGCTGCCATGCGTGCATGGAAAAAGAATGACTTTCATTTACAAATGTCATCAAAGAAACAGTGAAAAAAAATCTTGAACCTTTACACACAGATTTAAATATTCTATGCAATAAAATGAGAAATGTATTAAACACTACTGTGTAGTACATTTTTTAATATAAAATTCAAGGCAGACCAATGAGTTTTAAAGCAGGAAGTACAAAAATGGATTTTCCAATTGCTTCTTGCAGTCAATGTTGAAAAGTACTACCTGTCAAGCTTTGTTTGTCTACACAGAATGCCTGACTAGTATGTGTGTATATTTGTGTGTCCCGACTTTATTTATATACTTCAAACCACCATAGTAAACACATCAACTATATAGGAGCAGAAATAAAAAGTCTTTTATTAAGATGAGCATTTAAGCCTTGCAAAAATACCCAAACTACAGTAAGGGAAAAAACAGCTTTTGTAATAAAAATGTTATTCATAATCCAGCAATTCCAAATATTCAAATATAGAAATCAGTAAACAAGCAGGACTTGAAAACTAAATCCTATCACTTGTAGCAACATGAAGAGAACTGGAAGATACTATCTCAGAAAAGGAGGCAGGCACAGAAATCAACCACCAGGGGTATGAGAGTTAAAATAATCAATTTCCTAGAAACTAAAAGAACTGGTCTTACAGAGGTGGGTGTAAAACAGTGGTTATAAATTACTGGAACTGGAGAGGGAACGGGCTGTGGGGGAGGGGCGGGGGTAGAAAATGGTTACGATCAGGTGCAAGTTTCAATATTTTGTACTGCATACGTAAGGAGGCTAGAAGACCAAATGTGAATGAATTCCTGGCTTAGAAGAACCAAACACTGGTGAGGCTAAGAAAAAGGCAAGTGACCAGAAAGAAAAGTGTATTCATTGTAAGCCCACTGCAAACCATCCAAACAAAAGAAACAGCAACAAAAATTGTGTAAAGCCAGGAAGAAGTGCACTGTGGCAGCACAAATGTCAGTGCTTCCCGCTGGAGCCTTCTTACCCTGGCTGTGCAGGCTGGCGGGGCTGAGAGAGGGCTGCTGCAGGTCTCTGGCTGGGGTAGGGTAAGCGTCTTTCCCTTGGCGCTGACTCATCTTTCCCGGGGTCAAATGCTGGGGTTCCTCAGTGTTCGCTACAACAGCTCAAAGAAAGAAAAGAAAAGAAATTACCTTGCATAATCATTTTATTTTAATATTCATTTACTATAAATCCAAGAGGAACGGACAGGTAAGACTCAGTTAAATATATATTACAGACCCTATTCCTATCCAACTGCTAAGGCCCCCTATGGGTAACTATCTTTCACAGGGTTTATATTAACTCTTCAATATCTGCCAATACAACAAGTCATTTCAGAGAAGAAATAAAATGATCAAAAAGTGTAAGAAAAGATGTACAGGTTTATTAATAATCATAAAATACAAATTATTAGCAAGAGAAAAATACTTTACATTCAATTGAATTTCTACTCTGGTTTCTAATTTTTGGATGGCAAGTAGGTAAGATTTTGTTTCAAAAACAGTGTAGCTGAGGTTCAGAGACTACCTTCTCCACAACTAAACAGCAAATAACACAGGCAACCTACTCATAGTAGGTTTCTAAGTCTGTGTTCAAAAGGCTTCCTGGCAGGGGCTGGACAGAGAGTTCAGCAGCTAGGAGCACTTGTTGCTCTTGTTGGGGACTCTGGTTTAGTTCCTAGTTCCCAGCTCCCACATGGTGGTTCATAATCACCCATAATTCCAGTTCTAGGAGGGAGCTACAGTGTTCCCTTTAGATCTCTGAAGGCACCAAGGCAGACATGTGCTGCACTAGTGTGGGACCCTGGATTTAATCCCTAAGAAAAGGAAGGAAGGAAGGAAGGAAGGAAGGAAGGAAGGAAGGAAGGAAGGAAGGAAGGAAGGAAGGGAGGGGAGAATGAGAGAAAGACAGAGACAATGAGAGGGGGGAGAGAAGGAGAGAGGGAGAGAGAGAGGGAGAGAGAGAGAGAGAGAGAGAGAGAGAGAGAGAGAGAGAGAGAGAACGCAAGCGCATGCTCGTTTCTCTTTAAATCCACTGGCAGAAGCGTCAAAGGGCCTGGCACCTGTTTATCTTTATTTCATCTCTTGGCTTCTACAATAATGGCCACCTGAGTATTCCCCAAAATGCCATCTTATCATTCCCTGAGCCTGTTTTAATTCTTTTATTTCTTTTTAAATCTCTCTCTTTTAATGTGTGTAATATCTGCATGTGTATGTTACATGTGTGTGAAGTCCAGAAAAGGGTGTAAGATTCCTCTAGAGCTACAGTTATGGGTCGTTGTGAGCCAGCCAGTGTGGGTACTGGGTACTCAGGTCCTCTGGAAGAACAGCAAGCTCTGTTAACTGCTGAGCTACCTCTCCAGCCCCTTGGTGGCACTTGCCACCCAATGTGGTGAACCAAATTCAGGAACCACATGGTGGAACAAGAGAACTGATACACACAAATTGTCCTCTGACCTCCAAAAGCATACTGTGACCAATGGGTGCGTGTACACACACACACACACACACACACAGAGAGAGAGAGAGAGAGAGAGAGAGAGAGAGAGAGAGAGAGAGAGAGGGAGAGAGAGAGAGAGAGGAATAATATATAACTTTAAAAACTAAAAGAAAGATCCTTATTCTTTTTTAAGCAAAAAAAAAAAACCAAAAAGATAAAAGATTAAAAAAATACAACATAGTCATCACGTCTGGGGAGTGCCACCAGGGAGTAGATTACAGCATGTTTCTACATTTAGTAACACATAGGCATGTGTTTTAAGTAAGTCCACTACATACACAGGTAAACAGTTCTGTTCACCTCTTTCTAACGCAGCGTTTATGTGCTTCTTGGAGACATGATCTCCAACAAAGAACTCAAACTGGAAAGACCTCATAGGCCTCTGCTGGTCTGCCTCCCTGATGCTGGAATCACAGCCCTGTGTCTTCGTGCCCAGCTCTCAAGTTACCTCTTTTTTCAGAGTGCTTTACAGTAAGACAGAGAACCCATCTTCCTGCGTGTTTTGTCTCAACTAGTTCACAAACATTTCTCTTCCTAACACAAATCATTCAGTGCCCTACAGGAACTGCACAGCAGTGGGACTGTCTGAACAGAAGCTTAAGAAGCACAGTGACGTTGTTTGTGTGTGTATCCGCTTGCACAACTGATAAACGTTTGCTAAAGAACTGAAAAGCTATTTGGCAAAGGCATCATTGTCGCAGCATAGCTTAACAAGCTCACCTGCCAACGGTGACACTACAGTGCCCCCTGCTGGCTCCATTTATACTGCATGGAGCTACTTAGCAACTCCACCTACCGACAGCAAGCACACTGGGATACCTAATCCAGCAGTTACTGTCCAGGTAACCTATCGCCTTCCCTCGATCCTCAACAGCTCATCAAAGTCTGAAGAACTGCAAATTCTGGCATTTGCCCTTCTGCTGCATGGAAGCTAAAATAAGACACCTAAATAATCTGTATGTCAACCTGACAGCCCTGAAGATCTGGGAGTCTCTCTTTTATAAAATTAAGGTAGTGGTAAGATTTAGTAATATCTGTAGAGAGTTTTAAGATTTAAAAATACTCTTGAAATAATAAAAATTGTGTAAAAAGAGATTTATGTTCTTCTAACTTTGTTTTCCACTATCTGATAATATTGCATGTAATAGGCAACATATTTTAAGTAAGAACTGCTGTGATTTAAAAGAAATAGTGTATTACTTTAAACTAGCTTTCTATAAAAAAAATGAAATATGCTTTCTAATAAGCATTTGAAAGAAAAACTAACATAGACCAAAGATTGATGTGTGTGTGTGTGTGTGTCTATATATTCTACCTTTTACTAAAACATTAATTAAGGAAAATTATGATTTTGTCATGTGATTATGCAACCACATTCATGCCACCAGTTGCCCTCTCTTTAGAACAACAACAACAACAACAAATCTCATTATGAAGAAATTTTGCTATTATCTTGCTCATTCCTTCTCTTTGACCCCCCCCCCATATGAGGCCCAGAGCACAGAGATGGCTTGCAACAGTGAGGCGACTATCTATAAACATAAACTCTGAAATCAGTTTCCTATGTGTTATTTAATACAAATCAAAACCTCTGCTCAATTTATGATGGAATAAAATTTTAATTACTTGGTTAGACTCAAATTCAGCCAACAATGCTTTGCTGTCACTTTTTAGAATTAGTAATAGTAGCATTTAGTGGGCTGTACTTCCTGGATAGTTAAGCTTCAAGATTAATCTGTAGAATCGGCATTCTATGACCTGATCTTGGATGTTCTTTTTGGCTGAGTGTTGCTATGATTTCTAATGTACCAACTGTTCCTGTCACTGTCTACATGGACTACAACAATCTGCAGTGACACGTTTTATTTGTTGTGCTTATTCAAAAGCCACTACAATGTCCAGCCCTATCTAGAAAACAACAAAACCAGCAAAATCTGTTACAGTAAATTGAATATAATTTTATCTTTAAAGAGAAACCTTCTAGACCTCTAAAATAAAACATTCATAAAATAAAACTTTCATAAAAATCTCCAAAATACAAACAAAAATGACAATCCAATTATTCCATTAAAATTCTATAAATGAAAACACTTTCTCAGTTTCCTGAGGCCGTAAATAAGTCCTTATACAATCTCTTTACGCCTGTGACTCTGCAAGGGTCTTGTAAGAAGGGGGGTTTACTAAATCATGAATCAGCCTCTAACTTAGTGGTTCCTCAGCCTTCCTAATGCTTCCAAAATACAGTTTCTCATCTTGTGGTGACACCAGCCATAAAATGATTTTCATTGCTACTTCAGAACTGTAATCTTGGTCCTGACATGGATCATAATGTACATCTCCTGTTTTGTGATGCATGAAGGGGCTGTCTGACCCCACAGGTTGAGAGCCAGTGCTCTGGAAGACTGTGATTTACATACAGACTCTGTGGCTCTCACCTAGACAACAGCAGCAGAGAACTGTGGTCATTGAGCATCTCTACAATCAAAACTGAAATACTATTTTTCATTTGTAAGTAACACCAAATATTATTGTATCTTCAAAGCATGACATTCCGACTGTAGCTACTTACTTGATGGCCCAAGGACATCTCTGCTATCACCAAGAAGCTTTTAATGCAGAGGGAGTGAGCAGCAAACAAACACAATCCAAACCAGGGAGAAGCAAACACCGGACGGACGGAAGCAGCAGCGAGACAAAAGGACAAGAGAACAGCGTTAGTCTGTGAGTAGGAAGCACATGCACATTAGTTTCAATCGTCATAATTCATAAGACATTTCCCTCTATGTGCCAAAAAATAAAAATAAAAAATAATAATTAAAAAACTCCTTGGCTTAGGTGATACCAAATCTTTGTTTAAACTTGGGGAAATGAAGCCGTGAAGAGAAAGCAGAATCACCAAAGTACATTGCTTTACACTTACTCAAGCCCAAAGTTCCTTCTGACGACAGTTCCAGATAGGGCTAAGCAGCAGTAAGACCATTTAGAAATCTAAGCTCACTGAAGGTCACTTACCCTTTTAAATGGAAAGCTTTAACAGTACCTACCACCCAATCACTACTAAGCATTAGTTATGCACACCATCGGAGCACTCTCCAGAGATTTAGTCTTAGAATAATAAAAGACAAGCAAGATGTAGGTTCTACAAAGACATCAATAAAATAGATCATTTTTTAACCAAATGACAAAAAGAAAAAGAGAAACAGTTGTTGTCAGACAAATAACCCCAGGTTAAGTTTTAAGTCAGATATAGTTTTCTTGGAACTGACTAATGACAAGCATATCTTACAGCTACTAATCCTTTAGGGAGTCAGAAGACACATTCCATGGTGCCCACCCCCAACACGACCTCACTAAGTATTCTAGGCAAACCCACAGTCCTCCTCCTTCAACCTCCTAGGTTCTACCACACCAAGCAGAAGACTCAGTTCTTCAATGAAGAACTTAAAACTGGCAACAAACAGATGCAGACCTCTACCTAGAAACTCTTCTAACTGCTCAGACTCCCTTAGTAGGTACACAGCTCTCAGGTATCCTGCACTTCACAAACCAAACCTAAAGCCTTCCCACTGATTAGAGTGTGTTTCCGGAACAGTGAAGTAATTACAATGAGACAAAACTAGGTGAGCCCTTTGCTGCAGGCTTCTGTCATCTCCTTGGAAGGACTCTCTTACCTGACACTTTGTTAGCATGTGATAGCTCTTGAGCAGTTATGGATACCATGTTCTAGTGTCTATTTATTTTTTGTCAGCTGCCAAGCCATGCTTCTTCTTCTATGAACAGATTTCGGTTTCACAGACCACAGCTCTACTGACAATGAACTCAGTGTGCTCAGGTCCTTATTACAAACAGCAAGCTTGAGGGAGGAGGTTAAAAGGGGTAAAGTAAAAGATGGAAGTGTTTGTGAATCGGGAATGGAGAGATGGCTCAGCTACAGACAGCACATGCTGCTCTTCCAGTGGACCTGAATTTGGTTACTAGCACCCACAGTGGGGCAGACGGGGATTCACAACCACCTGTAACTCCAACTCCAGAGAATCCACTTTTACACATGCACACACCCACAAAGGGCACACAAATAAACACATAATTTAAAATAAAAAATAAACCTTAAAAATTAAAAAGGCAAAAGTTCCTGTGAAGACAACCTTAAACTACTACCCAGGGGTCCTTATTTCCTGGCAAACAATCCTTTCTCCTTCAGAGAAAGCACAATCTTTGAATTTCCTTTTGTTAAGTTTTGCTTTGGGTGTAGGAGGTATAGGCTTGGTTTTAACATAATGTCAGGCTTGATCCTCCTGCCTCAGCTCCTGGACTGCAAGCATGCTCCTCCATGCCTAGCTCACTACTCATGAAGAGAAAATGGCAAAAGGATGGCAACCTCTTCTGAGGCTGGGTCTTGTTCTCCGTGCTCTCTCACAGGTCAGTGTCTATGGTGGCCCTCCATAGGGCAGCCTTGCAGAGAGGCCTACTAGGTACACCCTGAGGTGAGCTATGGAGTGAGCTTGAAGAGGGAGGGACTCTCCTGTCCAACCGTCATCAATGCACACAACGACAGAAGCCGTCCATATGCTTAGCTACAACCTCCTGACGAGATGCAGCCACATGATAAACTGCTCTTGGATTCCTGACTCACAAAATTTGAAATAAATGCTCATTGTTTAATATGACTTAATTCTGGGGTCATAATATAATATGAAATATTACATATAATAATATATAAATAAGTAACATTGGAAAACTGTACGAGGCGGGAAGCTGACAGAGACAACTATAGGCAACTATTTAAATGCTTCAAAGACATCTATTTTTTAAAAAATCTTCTTGTGACGATAAATTTAGAGAAAACCTAGATTTACTTTTGTCTTAAAACAACCCCTGGCAAAACCATGCCAAAACAAACAAAAGGAAATTCAGTGGTTCTACACTCTCTGTGAGGGAAGGGTACTCTCCTCTCCGTCACTTCCCTAGTCACCAGGGAGGAAGGACCACTGGATACCATTCTGGATTGTCTTCGCAAATTGCTATTCTTTTAAAGATTTTTTTCATTATTAGTTTCCCCTAGATTTACCCGTAACTTCACGAGGGAAAACTGTAGTTTTAATCACAAACACACAAGAGCAAAACATGGGTGCTCACACATACACACACATAAAATTCACATTACAAACCTATTTGAAGGCTTTAGAATTCATTTCTATTTGGAGTGAACGGTTAATAAGCTCATTTTCATTGTACAGTTTTGTTTAACAGTCTCTAATTCTATTAACAGTACTGTGCTGACTGTTGTGCAGTTTCCATCCCTCACCCATTCACTCTCCAAAACTATCTCTAACACAGACAGTAACTTGAGGCATTGTTCCAATAATTGCATTATAATATCGACATTACACCTTTCAGCATATTTGTGCCATTTGCAGCTTATGCCATTGGATTAATCCTAACTGGTTCAGTTTGACAAAGTGAGTAATGACTTGAAATATCTACTATCCATATAGCCAATATTTACTGGGTAACAACTATAGACACATAGCTTCAACACCAAAGGATCCTAGCAGTAAATGAAACAGACAGAAATCCTGTCTTGGGCTGGGGTTTGTCCTTCAGTGGTAAATGTGAACCTAACTCTAGCCCTGGGTTTGACTCACACACCACCAAACCAGAATTCTGTCAAAGTGGTACTTAAATTTCAGTGGAGAAAGTGTAGAAGAACATAATAAATGGTACTAACTTATAGTATACTACATAACCTAAAAATAAAAAAAAAATAAGCAGAGAACAGGGGCATACAGAACATCAAGAAAAAGGAGCTCATGGCTTTAGACAGGAACCCCAACAGCAAGCACCCTACCACAGTGGTCCACGAGCAAGAGGAAAAAAACTGCCAGAGATTACTCCACAGGGAAGGAAAACTATATACAGACGACTGCTATGCAGGCCAGTGCCGAGGGTATGGGAATCAGTGAGTGCAGAAGCTAGACACATCAGGGGGTGAAGAGTAAGAACACTGAAGTCAGTGTGGTAAAAGACCCTAGATTATGGAGGCCTTTCAGAGTCTTGTTGCAGCTTTGGCTGTATTTTGAATGGGATTAGGGAAGCAAGAATGGTTTTGAAAAAAGGATTGACATGGTCTGATTGTATTGTAACAGAATTGTTCCAACTTACTATTCTGAAAATACTATACGAACAGGAGTATGTATGGAGTTTACTGAGACAACCCGGGGATACACAGCAGCAGCAGGACAGGTAGTGAAAGGTTGTTCACTTCTAAATATACTTTGAAAGTACAGTAGCAGAATGTCCAAGCAGACCAAGTGGGAGTCAAGAGACGGGGTATCAAGATGACTTCAAGTAGTCGGAATTGAGCGCCTGCACGTTGGAAATGCCATTAGCTGAGCAGTTGCAGTTGTGTTACAGGGAGAACTCCAAGGGGCTCAGGAAGACATCCACGAGGGGGCCATGAAGGCAGTTGGATGTGTAAAGTCTGTACAGAGAAGTCTTCTTGGTAGAGGAAGCACAAGTGATGGTCTGTGTGAGTCAGGTTTGTGACCTCAAGCCTTGATCACTGACGAATGACACATGCCGTGACACATATGTTGCACAGCTTAAAGGAACAATCGCAAGAAAAACTAATTATAATGGACAAGTCTAAGACTCAGGCAGAAGCACTGAAAGCCACAGCTGAGGCGCCACGCGAACACAGGATGGCTTCAGAGACATTTCCCAGAAGACATGGATGGGAGGGAGGCGGTCCATGGCCTGCCAATAAACCATCCTTTCCATGTTGGAGGATGCTAATGGGAAGCAGGTTATAAGCAAGTGAGCCCCTTATTGTCAAGTAACGTAGATCACTAAGTAGACACAGACTAGTTTGTTATCCTTACATTTTTAGAATACGGTACCATGTTGTGTAATACATAAAGATCATGAAATATCTAATGTGGAATAACTCTACACAAGTATCTTATACATTTGTTTAACATAAGCTGGGCACTCATTGGCTTTCACTAAAGTACTAAAACACTACTCACATCTCAAAGAATCTAGAAATTTCTTATTGCGTTTAGAGAAAGACCATTAAGATAGGATAAAACATTTTCTCTTTTAATTCAATAAATATTCAAACTCATCACAGTAATTTGTTACAGAAATAAATTTTCTATTTGACTGAATGCAGTTTAAAAAAAACAACTAATGTGACTAGAAATTTTTATTTAGGAATTTGTGTGCTACAAAACATTTTCATTGGAAGCACTAAATATTTACAAGATTATTTAAATCATTGGTCTATGAGTATCATAAAAACTGTCATATGAGAACTGTGATCTAATTTTATTTTATATCTAAATGTATGCCACTCATCTATGAGTATTCCACACAAAGGACAGAGTAGAAGTTTATCACCAGCCCTTCAACCTAGGAACTCCTCCATCTCAACAGACCAAGACAACATCACCCTGTGGTACAGAAATGATTCCATGACACTGGTGTAAATCCAAAAGCCTTACACACACTTTCTTCCCTGTATATGCAGCATCTTGACTTAGGGCCATTTGGTGAGTATAAGGCAAAGCACAGAGAGCTGATCCAACAAGGACACAGCTGGTGA